AATTCACACCAGACTTCAGAGCTGCCTGGTTCTCGATGATTCTGGATTTTTGAGAGTGTGGTGTTTGATTGTTATGATATCCATAAGCATTTATGGTCCAGCTTCTTAAATGCTTCTATTAGAATGTCCATCTCAGTCCAAGTCGACTGTATTAACTGACTCTGACGGAGCCTTTTCCTCTCTGACTGCAGCAGCTGTTACATCCTCCTCACACTGCTCTCACTCAGGTCTCTGGAGTGTGTTACTGAGGCGTGCCACCACCATCGGTATGGTTTGGTTCTGCAGATGAACAAATACGTCTGTTTCTCTCATACATCCTTACATTCGGTGTGTCTGCTGGTATTGTGTTAGACAGGCCGGCCTCCACAGACACAGCTTTGGCCCTGAATCCTCACTGCTGAGCTTCAGCCTTTCTTCAACTGTGAACCGTTTTTTACCTCAAAAACGGTTTCAAGAAGAGTGTCTGTGCTCGTGCAGAATGCTTCTAGTGTCTTATCGTTCTTTGCAGAGCTCTGAGCAGCCTTATCTATGAGCTCAGAGACCAGAGCATCAGACTCATCCTGAAGGCTGAGTGAAGGCTGAGGTCTGCCCTCAGGACATCAGGCCGATAGATACTTCTTGTTGTTGCTGTTACTTTTAAGAACAGTGTGCCCAGCTGTAGTTTTTCATGTCCAAATCCACAAACTGGTAGACAGTGCAGCTGTGTTTCTCCTGTTTCCGTGTCCACCTGCAGTCAGCCTGGTTTAATATGAACTTCACTGTAGATTTTATCGAGACATGCAAAATAAAAACAAATCATTTCAAAACATTTCTGCACTAAGATAAGATAAGATGACCTTTATTAGTCCCACAGGTGGGAAATTTGTTTTGTTACAGCAAAAGTGCAAAGTTATGTAGCAGAAATTAGAAAACACTGGAATGCAATAAAATAAAATAAAATAAAATACTATATACAATAGAATAAAATAGAAATACAAATGCTATATACCACTGAGTAAGAAAATACAAAAGTACAACTTCGTCAGAAGAATTGCACATATAGCAGTCTTATTGCACGTGTGAGGGTTTGATCTGAAGAGACTATGTGACAAACAAACTGAGGACCTCATTGTGGAACTGATTATCATTTTTTCTTAACACAGCGTCTCTGTGGCCTTTAAACCCCAAAACACACTCTGCCAAAAATTGGTCCACCCCAAGGATCGGGTCCCCTGACACAAACAAATCATATTAACGATCAAGGAGCTGACCTCACTGCGCATTGTTCATTCAGTGGTGCTAGTTTCAGTCATTATGCAAATGTCTTGTTTATAAGGTTGGAAACCTGCAGTCAGCTGAGACTGTAGAAGTCACCTGATGATGATGATGATGATGATGAAACGTTTCTCCCACTGAAAATGTCTAGATCAGGGGTCCCCAATCCCAGTCCACGGGGGCGGTGTCCCTGCAGGTTTTAAATGTGTCCTTGATCCATCACAGCTGATTTAAAAGGATAAATTGCCTTGTCAACATGTCTTGAAGTTCTCCAGAGGCCTGGTAACAAACTAATCATGTGATTCAGGTGTGTTGACCCAGGGTGAGATCTAAAACCTGCAGGACACCGACCCTCGCGGACTGGGATTGAGGACCCCTGGTCTAGATGAACTTTTTGGGCTGTCCACGTTTAATGGAGTGACAATAAAGAAAAGTATCTATTTCAAACTTGTTCCTGATGTCTCTCATCCCCAGAGACCGACGTTGTTCCTTTTCAGGTTTCTGCAGGAGGATATTCACTAAACCTGGAGTGTTTTCAACTAAAAGCGATGCTGCTGTTAGTTTCAGAACCTCAGACTGATGGTGAGGGAAACAGAGACCTCCAAAATAAATATAACAAGTATATATAGCATTAGAATATCGTTGCTGTTCCTTTTTCGTACATAAACAGGCTTCGCGTTACTGTCTGTTGCTCCACCGCCGACGGCTGCCTTTGAGGCCTTCAGACACAAAAACAGTTATTTGTATTGATCTTCTTTAAGTGTATTGATCTTTAATCTTCTCGGCACAGCATGAAATAGGTGGCAAAATGTTTTCAGCCAATGCTGCACCACCGATTTATATGAATATCATATTTAACGCGTTATCGGTGGAGAATTACTCCCATTGCTTCATTGCTGAGTTCGTGATCGGACAGACTTCCTGTGTATCGTTATATACACATATATATAACCTGTGTAATATACACAGGTTGCGATTTCATGTTTTTTTTAAATACATATAGATATAATACTATTTAATTATTTTCATGTGTACCAAACGGCGACGTTTGGATTTTGTTTTTAGGCGCTATTTGCAGCGTCATCGTGACGTTTGACGTATGAAAGTGCGTGCTGACGCTGCGTGGGGCCGTTTTCCCTCCTCGTTGACAAAGCTGTGCGGTGGATGTTGAGCTAAAGCGCTTCCATCGCTGAACTTTCTGACTCTGTAGTTTGGTCAGTGTGGACGGAAGGCAAACAGAGAGGCGGGTGTCACATTGGTGTTAAAGGTCAGTGTCTTTTAAAACGTTTCTTTTGTCTGTCTTAGTTTTGTTTTGCTATCGTTTACTTAGCCGCAAAGCTAGCTAGCTGCTTAGCATTAGCTTGACGCAGGTAACTCGTAACAGCGATTAAACTGCGCGCCTGTAAACATCCAGGACAACAGTGAGTTTGTAACGGGGTAATCTAAACCTTTACAGCGTCCTCTTCACCGAGCGACGCGGCTGTTTGGTAGCTCGGTGTGTGTCGGCTAGATTCACGGAGCTAACTTGTTGTTAGCGGGAGCGGAAATAATGCTACATGACTTCACCTGCGGTTTGGAGCTGGTTTGGTCTGGCTCGGACTCGCCCGGTTAGGAGCCGGAATAGCACCTACTGTAAACCCGCCCAGTTTTTCCAACATTAACGTTTGTGTTTCGGATGTTTGTGACTAACCGGCGGATCAGCTCGGTTAGCCGCACGTGGAGGCGAATCGAGGTCGGCGAGAAATGACCGATAGCGTGATAATGTGTTCACAGAAGTCATTAAAACAAGGGTATGGGTAAACGCGTGCAGTTTCCGTCAGCTGGGGTCATTTTGTACCCGTGAAGCATTCAAAGAATTCCACCTTAAATGCTTCCTGACTGTGGATTCGTGGAGCGAGATGAAGATCGGAGGTTTGACTCGTGGGTTCATGTGTCTGTTTCCATCCCTGACAAAGAGAATAAATGAAAAACATGATTTGAAACAAAACAACAAACCACAGCTGGAACCAACACCTGGCATTTCTTGTGTGTAAGAGGTTCATGTCACAGATGAACCACAGTAAAAACAAGGTGCGAATATTGAATGAGTAAAGGTATAAAAGTCAGTGAATGTGTGATTTTCAGTGTCTGTAGGGGAAATGCTGTTGCACGTTCGAACATGTAGAAAGAGCCCAGAGTTAATTATCCAACACAAAGATTTGTTTTTCATCTAAAACGCATCAGAGCCGATGTGTCGTGTGTCAAATGTACTCAGAGGAGATCGAGAGCTCCAGAACACCTAACCTGCACAAAAGATGCTTTAGAACAGGAAGTGCAGTGATTTCTAATCAGGAGTGAGAGCAGTCGTTGTCCTCGTGTTCTCGAATATACACAAGAAGACTTCATCGTAACACTGTAGTCACAGGCCTAAATCACAGGATTGTGAGTACTGTTGTAATTAAATTCCTTCCCACAAACACTTGCTGAAGGGCGCTCCTGCACACCGAAGCAGCGTTTGCACTGATGAGCAACAACAGGACAGAGCTGAACACCACCTGATGGTGTTCCTCCTTCCCTTATTTGTAATGAGACGTAAAAGCTGTAGAGCTTTTGGTCCAAGCTTTGCAGCGGCTGAGTGTAAGTGTGTTCCTGTTGTAGAGAGTAACACTGCAAATGCTGCGTCGTGCTGTTCTTCTGCCTGTGCAGTTTAACAGCTGGATGGAGCTTCTGGTCTGAACCAGTGAGAGTGCAGTGTCACGGTTGGACACGCTCCTCTGTCGTCACGTCTGGGTTAAAAACAGAGCTCTGCATTTCCTCTGGTTCCGGCTCCTCCCACCATCCAAAGACGTGACACTATGAGTCATGCTCATTGGCTCTTCTAAAGTCCTCTGTGGATGTGAGGCTGAAGCCAAAGTTCTGTTTGTAAATGTGGTTTCTCGGAGCAGAAGCTGATACCGAACATTTAATTTGAGTGACGTCAGAGAAGTTTTCCTCCTGCTGTTCAGAAGGTTTTTCCTCAGCTGGGACACTAAAGTGTCTTTAAGGCGTGATCTACGGTCAGTGTGTTACCTGCAGCAGTAAACCACACCCCTAAACAGACATACAAGCTAAACCTGAAAGATCCAGTGTGGGTTTAAGTGAAGCTGTTGCTCTCCGTCAGACACCATCCACAAACACGGCAGCAGAAAACAGAAGCTGCACATCTGCTGCTGCCTCGATCGGTTAGTCGGCGGGACTGAAGATAAACGTTTGATCTAAACTGTATGGTGGTGTTTGTGTCCACAGAGACTTATGCTGTCCTGCTAGCAGGGCAAGATGTTCAACAAATCATTTGGGACTCCCTTCGGTGGTGGGGCGGGAGGATTTGGCACCTCGTCCACCTTCGGTCAGCAAAGTAAGTGAATTTCTTTTTGTACAGGAGCGTGAGCTCGATGCCTTGGGCGAGTCAGAAATGCCAAATATCCAAACTAATGTGGAAGAAATGATGAGAGCAGCACGTCGTTAGGATTTACACACACACACACACACACACACACACACACACACACACACACAGTTTTATTACGCTTCAGTTTGAATTCCTGAAGCATAATAGAGCTTCAAATTGTCAAAAACAAAAGTGAAACGTCAGGAGACAGTCGATGTTTTCACTATTAGCAGACTGAGGCGAGGGCCCGCGATAACGCAGAGACTAAATATCTCACAGATAGAAAAACACAGTTCCCTCTGATAGAGGTGGACATGAATCCTTGTGTCTTCATCTGGTCTCTTTTCTCCAGACACGGGCTTTGGGACGGCGGGAGGCTTCGGCACGTCTGCGTTCGGGGCGACGACAAACACTGGAGGACTGTTTGGATCCACGCAGAATAAACCAGGTTTGTTTCATGCAGCAGAAATGTTTGTGGTGCTTCAGTGTGCATAGATGAGATTTTCCAACAACATCTGAACGCAGCTCGGCGCTGTCTCCGATGGATTCATGTGGTTTTTCAGTTTTGCTTTGTTGATGCGTGATGGGCTGCAGGACTGCAGAGAAACTGTCGGTTCAAAGCTTCCTTTCTGCTCTCGGCCCGTTCTGTACAAATCCAGTAAAATGATCCTTCAGAGGCGGCTTAGTCATGAGGGGCGTGTCTAAAGAAGGAAAACTCGTAAGTGCTGACCTGTCCGTGTTGCTCCTTCAGGTGGGCTCTTTGGGTCCAGCACGTTCAGCCAGCCGGCAACTTCCTCCACCAGCACCGGCTTCGGTTTCGGCGCAGCGAGCGGCACCTCCACCAGCCTGTTTGGCAACACTGGCACAGGCACCACCGGCGGACTCTTCTCCCAGCAGAACAATGCTTTCGGTGCCAAGCAAGCCACCTCGTTTGGAAGTGAGAACCCTCCAAACCCTCACTCTCGTTTTTATTAAAAACGATAAATCGCCGCAGCGACGACAACGAGAAAATCAGAAACCTTAAAGAACAAAAAGCATGTTTACAGTTTTATGTAAATATGAGAAAAATGACGTTGTGTTTGAAGCAGCTGCTCCGACTCTCCTTCTGTTCGGCCCGTAATGACGTGAACTCTCTCTTCAGGCTTCGGGACGAGCACCAGCAGCAGCGGCGGCCTCTTCGGCTCCACCAACACCACCTCCAACCCGTTCGGCGGGGCTACGTCCCTGTTTGGAGGTTCGGGGTTCTCCGCCACTCAGCAGCCGGGAACGACCGTGAAGTTCAACGTGAGTGACTATTCTTCCCCTTTAATCGTCTTTCTGCTCCTCAGACACTAAACGTCTCACTGTTTTTATGCTCTGTGTTAAATTTGTTTTCCCTCCTTCAGCCTCCGACAGGAAGTGACACAATGGTGAAGGCGGGCGTGACAACGAGCATCAATACGAAGCACCAGTGCATCACTGCCATGAAGGAGTACGAGAACAAGTCTCTGGAGGTCCGTTTTCACTCGGCTGGCCGCGGCTCTTAAACGCAGCCACTAAAAACTCAGTTTTGTTGTTTGACGATGTTGTTTCTTCCTCTCCCTGCAGGAGTTGAGGCTGGAGGACTACCAGGCGGGCAGGAAAGGCCCAACCAACCCGATGGCCCCGGGAACCGGCAGTCTTTTCGGCCAGGCCACGGCCACGCCCAGCGCCACCACCGGCCTCTTCGGATCCTCGGCTCCCAACAGCAGCTTCTCCTTCGGCCAGAACAAGAGCACCTTCGGAGGGCGTAAGTAGCTGTGACGTAGAGCCCACAAACAATAAGAAGTGTTGATGAGAGCAAGTGAAGTGACGTGCGCGTCTCTCTGTTCAGCAACTACCGGCAGTTTTGGCGCGACCACAGGCGGCCTGTTCAGTCAGCAGACCCAGCAGCAGGCCGGCAGCCTCTTCAAGCCCTTTGGTGCGACCACCACCGCCCAGAGCACCGGCTTCTCCTTTGGAAACACCAACACGATAGGACAGGCCAACACCAGCAGCATGGTGAGACTAGCTTCGCTTCACTGTTTCTGACACATCAGGTTGAGTTTGATTGCTGCTCATTTTCACACAATTTCACTCCTGCAGCCACAAAAAGTAAAGACTTGCAGGTGGAAACCAGCAGACTCGGCTTCAGTTTGATTCAGTTTCGTTTAGCAGCCAAAGCACACGCTGTCGTCCAGTGATGGGAATAACGGCGTTACTTTTTTCAGTAACACGTAATCTAACTAATTACTATTTCTATCGTTACAACGGCGTTACTGTTACTAACAAGAAAATGCAGCGCAGTCGCGTTACTGTTTTTCAAGAAACAGACGGTGTAAGCTGTGTTCAGCTGGTTCAGCATCTTATATCAGCTGCAGGGAAGTAGCTGTAAGTAGTCTGGACGCTACAGCTTTAAGCAGCTGCGCGCTCCTGCGATCACTTTCTGCCCGACGACCACTTTTTGGCACAACGCCTGGAGCTCAGGGGGCAAAACAATCACATGCTGTTTGACTGAGGAAGAATAAAGTAGTCGTGGCAAGCCAATCACATGACCACTTCAAGATAACAAGGTGACATATACCAGTTTATAAATTGTGTTGATCGGCCACGTAAAACCAGAGTCGTGATAAACGTGTTTTTCCTCAATAGTTTCGTCACGTTTCTCTAAGGACAGCGCAGCGAGACCTCTCCGCTTATCAGCAAAATAAACAAAACAAAAACAGCCCGTTGGTGGAAAAAATGCACCATGTCGACCAATCAAAACATGATATGGCAACATGACATTTTGTGTGGCATCTTGTTGAATGCAGAACAGCTGATTGTTCTGTAAATAGATTTAAAAAAATTTTTTAAAAAAAGGTCAAAGGTAAATGGCTGCAAATAACTTTGTTTGCAAAACGTGTGGATATGATTTTAAAACTGACAATTTATATTTGCATTTAAAGTTATGAAATATGATCAATAAACATGTTTGTGGTTGTTACAGTAGAAAAAATACAACCTTTTCTACTTGGATTTTATGTTTGTCTGATTTTAGATCAATTGTGTTAGTACAGTCAGTCAAAATGAAAACATGACTGTAAATTCAGACACGTGAGGCTGTGCTGAAAAGGACGAGACCAAACAAAGTAAACAGTTTTTAAAGGTGAAATGTGGAGGAAACATCAAAACTTCAAAAATGGCCGATTACACCCGGCACCCCAGAGGGTTAAACTTTTTTTTTTTTTTTTTAAGTAACGCAATAGTTACTTTACAACTAATTAATTACTTTTAGAATCTTGTAACTCAGTTACTTTTTTGAAGAAGTAACTAGTAGCTATAATGAATTACTTTTTCAAAGTAACTTGCCCAACACTGCTGTCGTCTCAGTTTGACTTTCAGCTGCCTCTGCGTTGGTGCGGTGCAGCATGTTTTCTCTTGACTCTGAAGCTGTTTGAAGTCACAGTGAGGTTGTTTGGATGTTTCTTCAGGGTTTGTTTGGGAACACGGCGGCGTCTCAGTCGGGCGGCTTGTTCGGCTCAGCTCAGACCAGCACCGCCACTGGTTTCGGGACAGCCACGGGCCTGTTCGGCCAAACCAACACTGGATTTGGGAATGTCGGCACTCAGGTTGGGATCAGAGCAGACCCATTATTGTGTGTGTGTGTGTGTGTGTGTGTGTGTGTGTGTGTGTGTGTGTGTGTGCGCGCGCGCGCGCCCCCGGCGCGCAGCAGCTCCTCCCCTCATCAGATGTTTCCTCATCAAACTCTTGTTTGTGATGGCAAACAACTCTGTGTCCATACAGTTTGAAGTGAAGCACAGTCTGATTTCAGTCTGAAGGACACGGCGCTTCGTTCGTGTCCAGCCTGTGTGCGTTTTACGATTGTGTGCTCTGCTGTTTGTGAGGACAGTTTGAAATAAAGAAGCAACGACTTATTCTTTATTCTATAAAAGCAGGGAAAGAGATGGATGATCAAATGCAGCAGGGCGTGTGCTGCAGGGTTTCAACCACATTTACAACTAAAGAGAAGCTCAATAACATAGATTTTAATGTCTTTACTGGCAGAAGTTAGCAAGTCCTTTAAAACCAACACGTTTAAGCATCATCCATGAGCAGAGCTGCTGTCACTGGTGTGGATTAACAATCTGTGAACTCTGACCTGTTAACGGTAAAATAAATCAGCGATTATGGTGTGTCATAGTGAAGTGACAGGAGGACAAAACTGTAAAAAAATAACTTATCATTTACTGATCTGTTTAAAGCTGGGTTGCAGCTCAGTGTGAGAGTCTTACCCTGCACCCTCGCTGTTAGCTTCCTCCACGCTGTTAGCGCCAAACATCCCAAACCACGAGGTTAAAGCAGAGTTAACGGGTGCACCTGTTTTCAGGAGGATGCCTTTAATGACTCGAGAACAAATATTCCAGAGCACGCGGGGAAGCTCGTGTATTTCCAGGCAGATGCTTCTTTGAGCACTCGGAGCTCTTTTGTAGTCCTGAGGCTGAGTTTAAGTTTGAGTGATAAGTTTTAGGTCCTTTACGTATCCTGTGACTTTGGCTTCTGCAGCAGAGTTTATTCGGTAACAAGACAGCCGGGTTCGGCACCACCACCACCAGTGCCCCGTCCTTTGGCACCACCACCGGCCTTTTTGGGAACAAGCCCACCCTCACACTGGGAACCGGAACCAACACCTCCACCTTCGGTAAGTCAGCTGAAAATATGTGACGATGTCAAAGTTTCTGCGCCTCCGGCTCTTCAGCTCGTCCTGTTTGATTGTCTGGCTGCAGGTTTCGGTGCAAACCCTGCTGGAGGAGGACTGTTTGGGAACAAGTCCACCACTGGAGCGCTGGGGACCGGACTGGGAACCAGCTTCGGAACAGGTAACAGACCCAGCAACGGTACCCAGTAACTGCCTCGTTGCTTTAACTAGGACACTCACCTCTGCTCAGTCAGCCAGAAAAAACTAAACAGTCAGTTTGTCCACGTCTGTGTGTCCAGCAGTCGGCCCCGGGCAGACACTGTTTGGCAACACCCAGAACAAACTGGGCACCGCGCTGGGAACGATGGGAACGTTCGGAACAACTGGGTTCAACAGTGGAACGAGCACCCTGGGATTCGGAGCAACGCAGCCCGTCGGTGAGCGGCCACATGTTTTAGAGATGAGGACAGATTGATGCTGTTAAAACGTCATCATTTAGTTCATTCATGTTTCTTTTATGCTGCTGGTATAAATGACTCAAACTGACCTCCGGCTGCTGTTTCACGTCCCCACGGGCACACGTGGAGCGTTAACATCTTCTCATTTCCAGCCCTCACAGATCCCAATGCAGCGGCTGCCCAGCAGGCCATGCTCCAGCAGCAGCTCAGCGTGCTGGCGTACTCGCCATACGGAGACTCGCCGCTCTTCAGAAACCCGCTCTCAGACCCCAAGAAGAAGGAGGAGGTAAGGGTGGCGTAGCCGATGAGCTCCAGCTGCTCATGTACGAAGTTATTTTTAAATTCTATCGAGATCCAAAGATGAGGATTTACTTTCAGTTTTAACTTCACGGCAAAGAAGCCGTCAAACTCGAGCTTCTGCCCTGCAGTAGGCTACGTCCACACTAACCCAGACAAATTTGAAAGCGGTGTTTTCATTTGAAAACGCTCCAAGTTCAAATCAAATCAAATCACTTTTATTGTCACATCACATGTGCAGGCACACTGGCACAGCACATGCGAGTGAAATTCTTGTGTGCGAGCCCCACAAGCAACAGAAATGTGCAAACACAACAACACAAACCAGCAAATACAAGAATGGCCAACCTGAAACTAATAATATATGTACAATATATAATAGTGTATGCATTTCTGGATGTGTATACTAAATATT